TGGCAGCGGTGGGATCGGTCCGTCATTCGCAACAGTGGTTGGCAGCTGCGGGATCGGCCGGCGTCAGCGACATCGATGCGGTGAGTGCCTGATGTTTTCCCCTCAGTTCACCAGACTACTCTAGCTCAGGTTGTAGTAGTTTAGAGAAGGGCTGTGTGAAGCATTAGAGTGAGCTTTGATCGTTTCAAGCAAAGTCGAAGTGCTTTGAAACCAAAGTTAATGCGGAGGGGGTAAACACGGGAGAGTGAAAAATTGCTTGCGCGTCTTGCTAGTTGACTTATAGTGGGTACGGCAAGTAAATTGTTAACAGGGGCAAACAGCATGAGGCTAGTGTGAACGATGGAGAACCTTAAAGTGAAGGAACTCATCGAAATTTGTGAGGAACTCGGCATTACTTTGGGCCGTGCGAAACGAAAGCAAGCGATCCTTGAGATCATGAAGGATGAGGGAGTGTCGGCTGAGGAAGTCGATGAGGCCTGGGTGGATATCAAGGCACGCCGCGAGGAGGCTGAAAAGCGAGAAGCTCGCGAACGTGAAGAAGCTGAAAGGCGAGAAGCTCGCGAACGTGAAGAAAGGCGAGAAGCTCGCGAACGTGAAGAGGCTGAAAGGCGCGAAGCTCGCGAAGAAGCTGAAAGGCGCGAAGCTCGCGAAGAAGCTGAAAGGCGCGAACGTCGCGAGGAGGCCGAGAGACAGGAGCGCCTCGAGATGAAACGAATAGAATTGGCAATCCTACAGTGTTCGCAGGCGCCTAGCGCAGCTTCTCCGACGATTCAGGTCAGCGGTATTAGAATTCGGGATCAACTGCCACCGTTCGTAGTAGGCGAGGACATGGCGAAGTATCTCGTCAAGTTTGAACACGTCTGTGAGCGAAATGCTTTGGAGCAGTCTCTGTGGGCGCGGAACCTGCTAGCTCTTCTTCCCGGCGAAGTGTCCGACGCGATAACTTGCTTGTCGAGGGAAGCGTTTGAGAGCTATGACGAGGTTAAGGAAGTGCTCTTGAGACGTTATAAGTTGTCACCCGAGGCTTTCAGGCAAAGGTTCCGGTATGCTAAAAAGGGGAATGAGTCACACGTTGACTTCGCGTTTCGTCTTAAAGCCGATTTGATTGAATGGCTCAAGGGCGAAGGTGTGTATGACGACCGCGATAAAGTGGTGGAATGCGTTGCATTGGAGCAATTCTACCGCTGCATCGAGGAGGATGTCAAACTTTGGCTGCAGGACAGACTTGGGGACGTACAGTTAAACAAGGCAGCTGAGTTAGCTGAGGAGTATTATACTCGCCGAAAGTTGCATAGCAGGGCAGCGCGCGTTGAAAAGGATGAAAGGAAAGAGGGCTTTTCCAGGAAACCTGATCAACGGAAACCCGCTCCGCACCGTAATTTCAAGAAGGACCCGTCTCTTACGAAGGACAGTGTAGGGGAAGGGCAAACAGAAGCGGAGAAATCGAGTGAGGTTTCTACCACACAGGCATTTGAATCGGAAAACAAACGGAAGCCGCTAATCTGCTACAACTGCAAAAAGGAAGGACACATCGCGAGAAACTGTCAGGAAAAGTTTGCCTTCGCAACGATCCGAGAATCAGAAAAAAACATTCGGTTGTTGGAGCCGTATCTCCAAGAAATTAGGGTCAATGAGAAAACGTGCCGAGCACTTAGAGACTCAGCGGCAACCATGGACGTTGTCCATCCTTCATTGGTGTCTCCGGATGACTTCACAGGAGAATGCGCGTGGATCAGGCAAGTCGCCGAGGTGCAGAGTGTTCGCTTACCAATCGCCACGGTTGTCATTGAAGGCCCGCTCGGTAAGCTTCGCACCGAAGCAGCTGTGTCTGCCGCGCTAAATGATCGTTTTCCATATCTTTTCTCCAACAACTCAGAGCAGCTTCTCAAAGAGCAGGGCAAATCGTTCTTCCCCAACTTAGCGTGCATGGCCCTCACGCGATCGCAAGCGCGAAAGCTTTCGCAGGAGCTTGATCTGGTTCAATGCGGTGAACGCTCAAGTGACCTTGTCGGCGGGTCGACGGAACCTCAGAGAGGAAATTTTCCGCGTGAGTCATGTGAGCAGTCACGCGAGCGGCCCGTCGCGGAAGCGGCCGGCGCGGTATGCGTTGGGGGAGACGACATGGCGCCATTGAATCAGAGCGAGAGGGCTGCAACGCTCTCGCCTGTAGCGGAAAGTTGGAGCGAGCTGCCGAGAGTTGATCGAGAGACGCTCATTCGAGAGCAGCGTGAGGACCTCTCGATTGAAGCGCTAGTGGAAAGCCAGAAAAACGCGGCACGAGTGCTGTCGAAGGAGCGCTACGAGAAATCGGGGAAGAAGCGCACTTTTGAAGTTGATAATCAGGTAATGCTGCTGCAGCCGTCCAAAAGGAACAAGCTTGAGGTTGATTGGGAAGGGCCCGCCACAGTATTATCGAAGCCTTGCGATTCAAACTATGAAGTGAAATTAGGAAGGCGGCCGGACAAAATTTACAACTTGATGAAACCATACGTTCAACATCAAGCGGTCGTAAATCTGTTGTTGAATGCTTCAGAGGAAGAGGAAGCAGAAAATTTGAGTTCTAGTGAGGTAATCGAAGGGGGATCGAAAATAATCCGGGAGCAGATAAACCTAGAGCCTAGCTTAAGTGAAGGAGGACCTGAGAAAGAGGACCTGAGAAAGATTGGTTCCGAGTTTGAAGACGTGTTTTCGGACCGCCCCGGAAACATGAGGGTGATCGAACACGATATCGAGCTAAGCGGTGAGGAGTCAATCCGTAGCAAGCCGTATCGTTGTTCCCCTGTGCAACGTCGAAAGTGTGAGCCGCTCTTGGTGCCGCATAGGTATCGTCGCCTAAAAGTGGCTGGTTACTGAAGTGGAGCATGTTGCTCCACAGCGCAACTTTGACGTTCGCTAAAGAAAAAAAGAAAAGGTAAACGCTAATGCAGGTGCATTGAGCAGTGCGTTCCAGCTAGTAACTTCTCAACCTTTCGGTTTCTGGCTGGCGATTCGGGGCAAAATTTTGACCTCATCACGACCTGGGCTGAGCGCTCTCGTTTAGAGTGATCTCAAGGGGCCAACTTTGTGGTATTCTAATTCGTTACGTTGTTGTACGTGGGGAAAAAAATATTTGAGTTGTCATTTTAAGAGTCTTTTGTCCCACATGTGCCTCTTGATGTAGAGGGAACAAAATTCCGATAAACACGTAGATAGGTATATGTTGTACTATACTCTGTCTGGTGTTCTGTCGGGTGACCGAGGGCACTTGCTTGTGTCGTGTGTTGTCTGTTGTCGAACCGTTCTTGGCAAGTTGCAGAACCATCGACAAGTGCTGAAACCGAAGATGGTCAGAAGAGACGAGTGAAGCTGGTCGACAAGTTGTGGCGACAAGCCAGCGGAGCTGGGATCCGTCGTCAAAAATGGGATGTGTTCCCGGAACAGTCTGGAGCTGTATTCTCCCCATGGCCCTGAAGGCGAACCTGGAGGGACCTGGCGAACGAGCGCACCTGACATCCGAGCCCCGTGGAAGCAGCTCGTCTTTCCGGTGCGTTGTCTGGCGGCGGGGGTGCTGTTATGCCAGCGAGTCCTCGTCAAACGTCCGTGCCTCGGGAAAAGGCAATCTGGGTCAAGGCCAGCCCGCAGTCCGCCTGGCGCGATCAACTCGACGGAGTGAACACGCGCGGCGCCTCCCTGGCCCACGTGCATTGAGTCAGCTGCGCGCGTGACAGCGAGCCGGCGTCCGCGTGTCTGGTGGTCTGACGCATGGCGCGGCGACCCCCATTGGCGGAATCTGCCCTGACGACCAGCGGCGCTTCTGATTGGACATTTTGGTTGGACCCGGTGTAAATAAAAGAAGCCCTGCGGCGCGTCGCGATCGGCAGTCCTACGAGAGAGGGGTCCCCATGTCGGAGAGCCGACATGTGTGTGAGTCAGCGGTCTTAGGCGAAAGGCTGACCTATGTGTTAGAGAGGAGAGCTCGGCTCTTCGAGTCTCTGTCGGCCCCAGTGCCGAAATTGTAACGCCTCTGTATATATGCTGTACATAAACCTTATTTAACTCACCGTCGTCTCGTCCGCTCGTCTTATCAGCTCTGCGCAGAAGCAGTCGCGAGCTGAGAAACATACGCTACCAAACGGCTGGTGACCTTCCCGGCGGAGTTGAAAGCAGTGGCGCCTTGGGACCGTGTTGGCATCGCCGTCTTTCGCAACAGAGGTGGCTTCGGCGGGATCGGTCCGTCTTTCTCAACACTATGCACTTTCGTATTATTTGTAATAAATTCACTAAGTCCTGCTTCACAGTCTTTCTTTATTGAGCGTTAGACTGCACACCAATAAGTATTTTTTTATGTTTACGAAATTGTTACTCTTTCTACGAAGAATTCCTTGTTGTCTTGTGTGGAACCTGTCGTTTAAGTTTCGACAGTCTGTTACATGGCATGGCGGTGAACCATATGTTACCTGCAAGTGAACGCTTAAGTCTAAGAGCCCGTAAAATGGACGCAAAGATAACATGCCAAACCGGCGACTCTCGAATAACGCATCCGATGCTGTAACACTGAGCTACATTGGCGGTTGTCCCTCCGTCCACTTAGTAGGTTGTGTATATGTGCATTTAAACGTGGGAGCGTCAGTCAGCGCGGCCTGTTGCCATTATAGCGAGTGTCAGTATTTTTGGGCGGGAGGATGACCGCCTCTTTAGCTCCATTGGTAGTGCATCGGACACGCTATTCAAAGGTAACAGGTTCGGATCCCGTCTTTCTTGGGCAAGTTATCGTTTCATTCACTTCTTTTTTTACACTTCGATTAAAAATAGTTTTAATACCATCCCCTCCACTTTTTTGGGCATCACTGTCGTTTAGTATGCATAATTTATTATTGCAAGTGAATTGATAGAGCTTGTGCCGAAGCTACACCATCGTATATTTCTCTTTTTTTTTTCAAAGAAAAGTTGTCCGCCAGTAATGCTCTTCACAGTGTTTGAATACACGAAAGTGGAACGTCAGGAACAGCAGTCATTGTGGCTCACCTGTCTGAATCCGAGAGGTCGCTGAAGACATCTGAGAAGGGATCGGTGCGAGATGCGTCGCGTGCAGTCGCCGAGCAGGTGCTGCCACGGCCACTGGTTGTGGAGGTCTCGTCACCGCCGCACAGCGTCAGTTCCACGCCTTCTTCCTCGGCGCTGCCGTCGGCAGATGGGACGCGTCTGCATGCAAAAATAAATAACGAATAGCCGAGGTTAGAGGAATCCAGTGCCTGGGCACTTTGCTTTAGTTCGTGTTGTCTACACTGGTGCCCGGTTTCTACAATAAGCATATCTATTAAGGGTGTTTCAAGAATTGCGACCGAAAATGCATAAAAGTAAACTATGGCGAATCAGATATTTCTTTGCTGCCTTCAAAGTGATAATTTTTGTAGCAACAGACATCACAAGTTCTCAAAAAAATGATATTAAAAAAAGCTCTCTTAGAGTGGACAGCGGCAAACGCTCTTGAAATTAATACAAAAGATACGAACGCTGCGATTTTCAGACAAAAATATAAGCAGGTAAGCTGCAATCATGATCACCTTTCTTCATCAACTTGAAATAATCAAAATAGTAAGTAGTTGCAAATACTGGGATACAATTACAAAAAATTATGCTTTGGGATCCACACATCAAATAAGTTTTTAGCCACATATCTCATGTGGTCGGTATGATGGCGCGTCACAGAACTATATTACCCGTGCAGAAGCGCATGGCGATCGCCTGCCTCGCTCGGCTGTTCGCTCCCAGGCTAAGCATTGCCTGCTGTTGCTGCTATCGTCTCGGTCGATGCGTACCCTAATAAACAGCAGTCACATACATTTTAAAATAAAGCTCGTTGTTTACAACCGTCTTTCTTTGTTCCTTACCATATCAAGTTTTGGTATGGGGTGTGGCGAAATATACAAGTATTTAAAGACTTGATAAACTACACAAAAAGTTTGTTCGATTGCTCTTGAATGGGTCACATAAGTGGCCCACTTCAAAGTGATTTTTCAAAGAAAGCATAATGTGTGTGTTTAAGACATAGAATTATAAGTGAGTCTAGCGTTCAAGCGAGGAAAACAAATGTAAACCTAAAGCTTTGGCAAGAGCTGTTTGATAAAGCGAATCAATAATAATAATAATAATAATAATAATAATAATAATAATAATAATAATAATAATAATAATAATAATAATAATAATAATAATAATAATAATAATTTTACTAATATCATTATGATTACTAATATTATTATTATAATATTATATTGATAATACACCAATAAAATACTGCACCTTGCCAACCCTTTAAACTAATTCAATAAATTATAAAATTTTAATAACCTCTGCACCAACACTGCGTGAACATTACATCGACACGTGCCCACATAGTCAACAATAGTCATGCAAAGCAATTAAATTGTTGAAATTTAACGCTCCAGCATCTTTCCTGTTTATCTCGGCCAATTCCACTCTACGCTTATTGTGAGATTATCCAGACACACCAAAAAAGAACCAGCTATATTTATCTATACAGTTGTCACTTCAACCAATCTCCATAGTTGGATTTCAAGAGAGGTGAAAGACGAATGTGTATCGATACTCATCAGCCGTTAATTGTTCACAGGATAATAACTCACCCATTCTTATGACGAAGTTGAGCAGTTCATTAAACTTGTCTTACGCAGACTGTTTAATCTTTTGCGCAATATGCACCTAAGCAACGTAGATATCCCCACTGGTTCTTCTGTGGGCTTATAAGCTAACTAAAGCCTAAAAATCGCGCGCACAAGAAAGTTAGGTGTTCTCCATTCAGTGAACTTGAGAAAGAGTTCAGCTTTTTTCGAACTCTCTAACCGCTTATAAAGTATATACATAACCACAGTTCATATAGTAAATATTAAAAAAAAATAGGCAGCTCCCACATACCTTGAAAATAGGTGTTATGCGAAGCTTGCGGAAGGAAGGTGACTGTGTTGTAATTTTTGATTCAATGAAAGATTACACAATGCGTTAAATGTATCTAAAAATCTTGCAAACACAAACATATATATGAAACAGCCGAGTGTTGACTGTTGCGTAAAGATGCCAACAGCATCAAGGGGGCAAGCAACGGCAAAAGAGGTGAGCTGATATGTAGCGCTTGTGCTTGAGAGCATGGTGGCCCTGGACACTGCTAGACTAATAAGCTTCAGTGAATGAGACTTGACTACAATGCCGTTAACCCGACGTTACGGGTGTATGATCGGAGTATGTATATACTGCATGTAAGATTGAATAGTCAGCACTGCAACCACAGTTGACGTTTCACGAACAAGACGACCTACTTTCAAAGCAGTACCCAGACCTGTCGTGGCTCTGTGGTAGAATATTTGACTGTCACGCAGAATGCCGTGGTTCTATTATTGTTGGGACCATGATATTTCTTCTATGCGTTCGTTAGGTAAGCGCTGCCAGTGCGAGCTTTTAGGTACGAAGCTCCGAAGGGCCGAACAAATTGGTGTCCATCACGGCCCACAAAGCCCAAACCGAAACTGAACACTTGCACAACAAAAATCACAGCATATCCACGGACTGAATGATGATGAGTGGGGCGAAGCGTCCGACCATCCGTTCGTGCATCCATTCGTCCGTCCAATCATGGGTAGAAGTGTCCGTTCTTGCGTCTGTCCGTCTGTCTGTCTGTATGACCGTCCACCTAGTGAACACTTCAAACACCACCATCTCTTATCTTTTCATCATATATTGAATATATACAAGTACCGCCAATTATCAGGCATTCCAAGAACTAAACCTCCCTGTGGCACATACTCGATAGAGGTGAACAGGAAGAAGGTGTTTAATGAGAAGAAGGAGGAGAGGTCGGCCTGGAAAGCGGATTTCAGCCTTTTACTCTTCACGGGGGAAGGGGAAACTGTAAAGAAAGAAGAGGGTTTAATGAGGGGGGATTGTGGTATAGGACAATGAGTTACTGCACACAATGTCTTGGTCGGTGTAGGAAACGCACCTAAGTCCCTACATTAGCCGATGCTCTAAAGACGGCATTCTGAACGTGTCTTGCTTCAAATGCGAGCAAGTTCTTTAAACTGCGTTTAACGTGGTCCACACGTTCCCAAGCACCCAAAAGTTTCTCTTCCGAAAAGGTTCGACAGTCTAGGTCACTTTTGAGGCGCTTAAGAAATTGTGTTTCAACTTAATATAAAAGGCACACACACAGGATGTGATTAATGGTCTCTGGCGTGTTACACAAGTTGTAGTTAGAATTTTGCTCTTGTCCAATCTTGCATAAGTATCGTCGCATGTATGCAACACCCAGCCGTAGTCTATGTATTAACGTTTCATGGTCTCTCCTCAGTCGGGACGGAAGGCGAAAAGCATATCCGGCAATAATCCTGATCATCCCACAGTCGTTGCATAAACGTCTTCATACCTTTCGACAGCAAGGCGTTGATGTAGTAACGGGAAAAGTGAATTGATATCATTTCGCCACTAGCGTGTGCCATTTTCGCTTCTGCATCAGCTTGTTCATTCCCAGCTATGCTAGGATGACTGGGAATACATTGCAACGCAACGGTATGTCTGGATTGAAATGCATCATTCAACATATTCACTATGTTACACACCAGAGGAGTGTATGCAGTGTCTTGTTTCATGTAGTCTCTAATTAGCTGAAGGGCCGGCTTGGAGTCGCAAAATAGTGTCCATTTCGCTGGACTCTGCTGTAAAATGTAGCACGCAGCTTGTTGGATGACGATCAGCTCGGTGGCAGTATAGATGACGTCTGGTGTGCTATTTTGAAGCGTTGAGTGATTCCCATTTGAGGCACAGTGAAAGCTGTTGCTGAGGAGGTCTGCGTGACAGAGCCATCTGCAAAAATGTGTACTGTATATCCGTACATGCAGTCAATATGCGACAAAGTGAAATGCTTAAGACCAGCAGTTGGTATTTTTGACTTCTTTGTTATTCCTGGGATCAAAAGTCGCACGATCGGCTTAGGAATCGTCCAGAGGGGTATGTCGGAGATAACAAGTGGTGCATAATTTGAAGGCAGCCGATCTCGGTGTGACATAACGGCTTCTGAGTATGCAGCATTGGGGCGTGTGTTAAAAGCGTCTGCCAGTGAATGGTCTCAATGCCTTGTCAGTAGCCTGAGATGTACTCGTAGTGGTTCGTGTCACGAGCTGGACAAGCACATGCTTCTGCAACAGTGCCCCACGTAGAAGCACATCGAGGTACTCCTAGGCAAATTCTGAGGGCACGCGCCTGAGCTCCCTCGAGTGTACGTACAGCCGTTGTACAAGCAAGAGAGAGAACAGGAGCACTATAGCGAAGATATCAAAAATGTGCTTGGTATTGCTGCAGTAGAGATGATTTCGGTGGTCACCGTGATTTTCCGGACATATGGCGAATGACCTGGACAAAGCTGTCTAGTTTTTTTTCTTAGCGATGAGATGTGCTTCGGCAAGGACGAATCACGATCAATGATAACTCCAAGGAACTTGTGATGAATAACCGAAGATAATATTGCGATAGCCATTACATGGACACTCTCGACTGGATTTGCCACTGGCGTCGACGTCATGCACCGCATCTATATATATAAAAACGGAAGAAAGAAAAAAAAATGAGAAAGAAAAGCACTCCAGCACACGAAATTGAACATGGGGCCTCTGCGTCATGAAAGCGAGGTGTCGAACCACTGAGACGTCATGCACCGTACCTATATATATGAAAACAGAAGAAAGAAAAAAAATTGAGAGAAAAACACTGCAGCACACGGGATCGAACGTGGGGCCTCTGCGTCGTGAAAGCGAGGCGTCAAACCACTGAACCACCCCGGAGAACGTTCTTAACCGTTCAAAGGGCAAGTTAATTATATCTACCACTTACCGCTGCTGCGTTTTAGGCATTACCAGAAAGATGGCGCAATGAGCGGACGTCGCCACATCGCGCAGCGGCACCCGCTCAAACCCCAAGTTCACAGTCAACCATCCGCTTTCTACAGCGACCGAAATTCTTCTGCCGCTGCAACGCAGCGGCGTTCGCACTGGACGCACCCCGCGCCGCCGAATATTCCATCTACCACGGCACGAACGCGGGATGAATGCGCTGTCACCCGGTTGTTGTCGCGACTCCCTAACGCCACAACGCTACGCCTAGTTTCGATAATTCTCGTACAAAGGCAGCAAGAAGAA